CTAAACAGAGACTTCTCAAAAGTGGAAAGTCAAATGGCCAAGAAACAAAGTAATTTTCAGCATCCTTTATCATCAGGAAAATGCAAATCAAACTGCTCCGAGATTTCACCTTACACTCATCAGAATGTCAAAGATCAATAAAACAAGTGACAGCTCATGCTGATGAGGATGTGGAGTAAGAAGAACACTCATCTATTGCTGGTAGGAGTGCAAACTTGTACAGCCCCTATGGAAATCAGTGTGGCAGTTCCTCAGGAAGCTGGGGATCAATCTACCTCAAGATCCAGCTATACTACTCTGGGCCATATAACCAAAGGATGCTTCATTCTAACCATAGAGATACTTGCTCAACAATATTCATTACTGCTCTATTCAGAATAGCCAGAAACTGGAAATAACCTAGATGTCTCTTAGCAGTCTAGTAGATAAAGAAAACGTGGTGTGTTTACACAATGGAATATTACTCAGCCTTTAAAAGGAATGAAATCATGAAATTTGTGAGTAAAAGGAAGGAACTAGAAAAAAGTGATCCTGAATGAGGTAACCTGGACAAATATGGTTTGTATTCACTTATATATAGATTTAGCCATTAAGTCAATGATAACTAAGTTACCATCCATAGAAACACAGAGGTTAGGTATAAAGTAAGGGAATAGTGGAGATCATACACATTTCCCTAAGAAAGGTAAGTAGAATAGATGGTTATGAATGTATGGAGGGGAGCTGGAATGGGAGGGGCAAGTGGGGAGGGAGAGAAAAGAGGGGCACAAGGGACGGAATACAGGGAGAGGCAGCTGAACTTAAGGGCCATTTGAGGGGTAGTATGGAAACCCAATACAGTAGATGCTTCCTAAGATATATATATATATATGAGATATAAATGAAATTGCCAAATAATGGGGTAGATGGAATCTCAACTGGATATCTCTTATCACCAAATGAAGCTTCCAATATGGTGATTGGGTTACATCTATTTGAGTTGTTGGCCAAAAGGTCCCACAGGAACCCCCAAGCAACCCAGACTGTTGTTAAGACTATAGTTTGTTCTCCACAAGCTGAGAGCAAGGCTCCATGGCTGAAGACAATGCCTACCTAAGTCATTGAACATGGAGAAGTTGAGCTGGTGCCTACATAGAGCCTTCACCCCTATGTTCTAGTGTCTTGGTACAGGAAGGCACTCTGCATGCTACTAAAGGAGAAACAGAACACCAACCCAGCCGCAAACCCTTTGATCTACAATGGTGTCCTGCCTATAAGATATGGTAATCCAATGGTGTCACAAATCTTATGGGAGTAACCAATCAATATCTGATTTGATTTAAGGCCCACTCCAGGAGATGGAATCCATTCCTGATATAATGCTTGGGTGACTAAGAACCTGAGACCAGATAGCCCAGGGACCTGGGGTAAAACCAAATACTACTGTTCTAAAAACAAACAACCAAACAACCAAAAAAACACCTAGCAGTCAAATGACTCCCAGTGACATTCTCTTATACTCATAGATCAGTGCTCTGCTTGGCCATCGTCAGAGAAGCGTCTTCCTCCAGCAGAACAAATGCAGGCATTCACGGCCAGTCAGTATGGAGAGAGTGAGAGACCTTGGAACAGAGCTCTAAATGGGATGTCTCCATCAGATCCTCTCCTTAGGGCTCAGGGAACCTTGTGGAAAAGGAGGAAAAGGAAATAGGAAGAATGTAAAAGCTGGAGAGGATGGAGGACAGCAAGAGAACATGGCCCCCTAAATTAACAGGACTGACAGACATATGAACTCAAAGGCTGAGGCAGCATGCATAGGGCCTGCATGGGCCTGCACCAGATGAGGTCCTAGGGCTGAAAGGAGAAGTAGACACATGCCTTCATCCCTAACCCAGAAGCTTTGTCAAATTGATAACCACTTGCAAATGAAAATTTAGTTTTCTCCAAAGGAGTCTCAGTGGGGAAACAAATACTCTTAAGGGCAGGCTGCATGCCCAGCAGTAGACGCCAATAGAAAATGAACTCAAAGGATTCTTTGGAGATTTCTTGTCTCCTAATGTCATGTCAGGGCTTTTCTTTTTTTAAATTTCTTCTTCTTCTTCTTCTTCTTCTTCTTCTTCTTCTTCTTCTTCTTCTTCTTCTTCTTCTTCTTCTTCTTCTTCTTCTTCTTCTCCTCCTCCTCCTCCT